TTTTTGGTGTACCCCTAGCATCTCCCTCAAAATTTGGCTAGTGACAAAAGTGACTACAATGAGTAATACAGAGTATAATCATTCTGAGGTGTTGGTATGAATGGGGCCACATATGGTTTCTTTGTTTTTTTACCAAGGTCGACATTTGATAAAAGACAAATCATCATGAATATGAGTAAAAATATAGAAAAAATATTATAATATGTCCCCATTATTAATTTGATTAAAAATTGGCATTATTAGCATTATACTCTTATTTTGGAGATAACAATTTGAAGTTCTTACATTTTTAAAAAGAGATAATAACTTTGAATATCTTTTTAATTCCTATCAATTTCGAATAGATTCTCTTATTAAAAATTGAATTTTTTTGATAAACTATTTTTTGTGGAGTACAAGTTTTGAAATTTTTTTTATAAATAAACTACAGTTATACATTTTCCTATCTATTAGTTTTTATATTGAAAGTGGTTTAAAAAGAATAAATTCTTTAAAAAGTTCTTTATAACGGGAGAATTTCCATATTTAGTTCATATTATTAAATATTATTTTTGTGATCCTTATTGATTGGGTACCATTCCACGTTTGGTCCTTGTCTAATGGCACGAAGATGAAAAAATTGACGGATAACTAAACGTGAAATGGTACCCAATTAATAAGGATTTTCTACTTACTCCATAATATTTAATAAATGTGAACTAAATATGGAAACCCTCCATTTATAAAGGACTATATACAGAATTTACTTTTTGAAGAATTTATTAAGAAATTGTTATATTAACTGAAAAATATTTGTGAATAGTTTTCAAAAATTAAAGATTATTTATGAAATATCTTATAATTGAGAACGATTTATGAAATTTTTACTCATTTGTCAAATGATTCATAATCAAAAGACAAGTGAGAGCTTGGGATTGGGGGTAACCTTGGTGTTATTTAAATACTCCACTCCGTATTAAAGTATTTAATGTTTTTATTTAACAAAGGAGCAAAGGGCCTGGAAAGTTGGAGAAGTCCGCGGGGCCATCGTCACACACGCCCACTCCAAACCCAATAGACGACTTTTCATCTCCAAGTTGGGTGGGTGGGCATTGGGGAATCTTTACATATATACTACCTCCGTCTCACTCTCTTTCTCCATTTTTGAATTTTGGAATTGTTCATTTAAGCACTTTGACTCATCAAATTCTCTCAATGTGTAAGCTTAAATATAATCATGTATGATCTTGTTTGATTTACCTTAACATATAGATTATTAATATATAATTTTTTAATATACAAATTACAAGATAAAATGAATTAAAGAAGTGCATTGGATGGTGTGCCAAAAGGTAAGTGGACAAAGAGAGTGGGACGGAAGGAGTATATATATATAACCCACTTGCCATCAATCCCTTTTAATCTCACTTTTCTTAATTTAATTCATTGATGATCCTCTAGAATTTTTATGAATTTGTTTTCTTATTAGTATGAATTTTGTTTTCTTATCATAATATACCTACTATGAGATTGACTCAATGCATATCTTACATAGAAGTTTTGTTTATGGCAAGATTACTAATTGTGATATGAAATAAAAGTATTTCCATGCATTTTGACTATTTTAAAATATTGAATTTTTAAAATAAACAAATTAGAAAAAAGATTTAATAGGACTTTTAAACTTTATCTTGGTAACTTGGTTTACTATTTTTAATTAAAATAATCTTATATTGTAACTTACAATTTACTCAGTACATACTTATATTGTGTTACAATTCAAAATGTTTATATATAAAATTAAGAAATTTTGAATGAGAGAGAACTTACTTCCTACGTTTTCATTTACGCAACCGTACATGGAAACTTCATAAGATGATATTTTATGAGACGGCACAGATTTATGCAAAGAAGATTGTGACAAAGAAGATCAACGTGCGGAGGGGAGCATGAGAAGATTTGTAAAAATGAAGATTTAGGATAATCAAAATATTAGGAAAAATTGTGCAGAAAATCCAAAGTGCAGTAGCTAATAAGTTCGAGACTTAGTTACAGGTTACAACCACATCAAAGAAAATACAATTTCTGATTTGTAACTATTTGTATTCTGATAGAACATTTTATATCTTGACCAAAATACTATCCCGACAAAATTATTAGAGCACTAAGATTTTAATATTTTTTAAAATAAATGTGGGGGAGAAGAATAATTGATTCTTAATATTTTTAAAATTAAATTTTTAATCATAGAGATTTACGATCACTAATTTAAGATTTTGTTTTTTAATAATGCAAGAATGAATAATAATTTTTTATAATCATTGGGGGGGATAAGGATTATGGATGAGAAGAATCCTATTTTTTAATTACTACCTCCCTCCGTGAGTATTTGTCCAGTTTTGATTTTTCCGACTAATTGTTTTCAATATTTGACTTAGAATTAAATAAAATATATATTATATATTAAGTATATAAAAAATATTTTGAAAATGGATGATATAATAAATCTAATAAAACTAATTTTGTATCAATATCTAATATCGTTTTTATTTAATTTGAAGTCAAAATTTACCAATTTTGATAAAAAAGTCAAAAGTTGACAAATACTCAAGGATAGAGGAAGTATATAATTATAAGGTCGGTAATTTAGGTTTTTTAAATTAATGTGAGGAAAAAAATCATTGATTCACTAATACTTTTGTATTAATATATTTTCGAATTTATACTGCGATAAAAATTATAAATTTGTAAAAATACATCAAACATAGATAATTTATATTTGACCTTTAAATAATATGTCAAATTTAAATCAAGATCCACATTATAGAATCGAAAAAAATTCCGTCCGAACCCGTGCATGGCACGGGAAGAAATACTAGTATATATATATAACCCACTTGCCATCAATCCCTTTTAATCTCACTTTTCTTAATTTAATTCATTGATGATCCTCTAGAATTTTTATGAATTTGTTTTCTTATTAGTATGAATTTTGTTTTCTTATTACAATTTCTTATTCCATTGTTTTCTGTTACATTATTGCTGAGTATTTCTTCTCATATGTGGAGTAATTTTTTCTATGTTTGATTTGGAAAGTGAAGAATTAATTTCTCATTTAGTTTTTTTAATTTTGATCTCGATAGGTAGAAAATATAAATTATGTTTCGACAACACAAATGTGATATCAATAATTTTCTTATGAAACGTAATTTTAAATTATTAAAATTTTAATAAAATATATCTCTGTATTAATATCGGTATTATTCTTCAAAGTGTCATAAAAAAAATTCCAAAGGAGGAAGTAATGGAATATTTTAAAGTACTACCTTCATCCCCAAAAAAGGTGCTCGGTTTTACTTGGCACAAATTTTTAGAAAAATGAAAATATATGATTGAAAGTGATGCTGAAGAAAGAGAAAAATTGCTGAGCCACTCAAATTTTTCCACAAAAGGAAAAAAGAGATTTTTTTGGAAGCTACCCAAAAAGAGGAGCTTTTTTGAGATCGAGTGGGTACTAATCTAAATACTCCATCTGTTCGTAAAAAATTGATATAGTTTGATTTTTTGGTCAAACTGTCACACCCTTTAACCGTGAATTATAAAAAAAATATTTAGTTTTAATGTAATCTAGTTAAATTAGATTTATTTTAAATATAATTTTGAATTATCAAATTTTTATAATATTTAATTATTTTAAACTATATTTAATTCGTAATCAAAGAGTGTCACTGTGACAATGCTTTAGAACAAATAAGTATTAAAAATACAATAATCTTAGTTTGTTCTAATCTTAATAAAAATAAGAATAAAAACAAAGATTGTACGGAGTAATGCGTTAAAAGAACAACGCGAAATCCATTATTGAAGTAGAAAATAAATTTGAAAAGTATAAGTTGAAAAGAGGGTAGGTAAGCATCTCTTTTAGCTATTGAAAAATGTTATCTTACCCCCAATTTCTTTTATCCAAGTTGGCTGCACCTTCATTATATAGTGACATATACACATGAGATCAATTGTTCCTAGTTAGCATTGTGAACATTTATTTTATAATACACATTAAAGGGCTGTTTGGCAACTTCTGAATGGGTAAGTGCTGAACCAGTAAGAGGTCTGAATCATTAAGTGCTGAACCAGTAAGAGGTCTGAACCATTAAGAGCTAGTATATTGCTTAACTATTCAGAGGCAAATGTCTGATCAAATCAGATAACAGCTCTTAACCATTCAGACTCTATATAATACTTAACCATTCAGAGGCAAATCTCTTAACCATTCAGACATCTGAACCATTAAGAGGCTGAAACAAACAGTCTGAACCATTAAGTGCTAAATCATTCAGACATCTGAACCATTAAGAGGCTGAAACAAACAGCCCCTAAGGCAATGCTAGAAATACATTAATATACGTATTCAGGTTGTCTTTGTGCAAAATGTCTATGCAGCACAAACATTGTGTCATTGTGTCTGGGTTTGTCTGTTTTAACTTGGTATATAAATGAAATACATCATGTTGGTGTATCCCCTAGATTAATTCTAGAGAGTAACACTTAAAACTAGAAGCTAAATTTCATAATTAAGTAATCTTTAAAAAAATGTTAAACTTAACCAAAAAATATAGTGAAACAAGTAAAAAAAATATTTTTTTGAATGATCCAAAAAGGTAAAATAGGTAAGAGCACTAGTAATACATGCAACGCCCCCCGGCGTGATGGGGCGTTTAACGCCCCGGGGGCGTGAAACACCGCCCCCCTCCGGGTGTGATCGGGCGTGAGTTCACCAGCGTCAAAAGTTTGACGCGGCTTGGCTGCATTTTTTAGCCGGCTCCCCCCTTCCCAACGGCTATATAGCCATTACCCCCCCCCCCTCCCCCAAATTAAAAAAAAAAAAATCTAAATTAAAAACAAACTATAAAATCCCCCCTATTTCATACATCTTTCTCACAAATCTCTCTTTATTACTATTTATTCTCTCAAAAATATTTATTATTNTAAACATTTTCGTATCTTTTTATTATTATTATAAAGAAATTACTAAAACTTTATATGTATAAACACTCTAGAAGGTCATAACTGACATTTCACATTCAAGCTATATTTGTACATTAGATATATATGCTTTATTTATTTTCATAGCCCAAAGTTGTACCTATAGAGTATTTAGACATAGGTCCTTGCACAATGCTTTATTTCCATTTCTGCTCCCTGCATTTTCCACATATACTATTAGCGGCGGCGGCGGCTTCTACTATATGTACAAACATATACGGCGGCTAATGGAAGGAAGAAGGCATATTTAACACTGGCCTTCGGGGTGAACAAAAAGCACTAGTGTCGGGGTAAAAAACTAGAAAACAGTATAATGTAGGGGGGGTTTGGCATAATTATGAGATATATCGAGGGGCGAAGAGCAAATCTCAGTACTCAATTATCAGCACTCCCATCGGGGCCCTGTGCGGAATACCCTTTCTTCTCTTGGCAGTTCTGTAATTAACAGAAGTTTGCGGTGGCGTCGATGGACTGAAGCTCTGTATTTTGCTCCCCTGCTGCGCCGCCGCCGCCGCCGCCCTGCCACGGCTGCTGCTGCTGTACGACTCCTCCGAATCCGAGCCCCCCACCGCCGCCGCCGCCCTCTTCTTCTCCGGCCTTCTCACGAAGTTCTTGGATGTTCCAACAATCTGTAAAATCATAATCCAAATCAATGTCCTGTAAAATCTCAGATAAATCAAGAAATTCAAATCCCAATCATTATTTCAAGAACCCAGATCGCATTCTTTTCCCAGATTAGAGAGATGAAATTGACGGGGAAATGCGGGGTGAAAATACCTTGCAGCCCAGAGAACAGAAGCGGAAAGAATCGAGGAGGCTGCGCTCGCAAACTTCGCAGGTATTGGTGACGCCTTTACCGGGCCTGGGCTGCGGGCGTTCATTCAAGAAGACGACTTTGGCACTGTTGATAATGTATGTCTGGACAGAGGAGATGTCCAAATACTTTGTAATCTCATTCACTCTGATCACATCGTGGTAAGAAGACCTCCTTATCTGAAAAACAAACCAAAACAAGAAACCCAGTTTCAATTTCAATCCAAAGTCAACGCCAGATGAGAAAAAAAAATCGAATCTTTGATGATTCAAAGAAGGGACCTGAATGGCTCTGTGGTCTTTGTGGTGGGATAAACAGAGAGAGCAGAGGGCGCCATTAGTGCAATCCAAGCAGTACATGTTGCATTCGCTCTTGTGGGAATCGGCGTGTTGCTTGCATTGGACGAAGAATCTCTCCTTCAGCAGAGGTTTCAGCCATGGCGGCCACCTGTTGTCTTCGTCCTCTGGCCCTCCGGCTCCCTGAAAACGAAGAATCCAAGAAAACCAAAAGTCAGAAGAAGAAAGATAAAACCCAGAAAGAAAAACACAGAAGAACGAAGAATGGGGGCAATGGGTGGTAAGCGGAGAATGGTCGTCACCATGATTCGCCGGTTCTTGGGCTTGAATTCCCGGACGGTGGTTTCTTGATCCTCGATCGCCAGCTTGAAAGGATTCTTTTGCAAAATGTTGAACGATAAAAAGGAGAGAAATAAAAAGGGAGGGGGAGAGAGAGAGAGAGAGAGAGAGAGAGAGAGAGAGAGAGAGAGAGAGAGAGAAAAGGGTTTGGAAAGTTTTGGAGGCGGTGAGAAGATGGGGAGCTACTTGTATTGCTGCGAGTTTGCGATTGGGGGAGGCGGGTGAGGGCAAAATGGGGAATTCGGGTCGTTCTTATCCTTTCGGGAGGGCACTCATATGAATTCCCGAACCTAGCTCCGAGCCCGAACCGGAAGATACGTTAGGTGCAAGGAACCGACCTCCGTCGTTCCTTTTCATTTCTCCCATTTTTCATTTTTTTTTAATTTCTTTTTTTTGCCTGTAGTGTGTGTGTTCATATTCTTTCTCGGGTCTTATCATTGCCCCCATTTACTTGTTTATGGATTAAAATTAATTCTTTTTTTATTATTTTTTTTTTAAAGAAAACCCTTCTTTTTGTTATGGAGCATTATTGTTTTTTTTGCTTTAACTTACTAGTGTCATAGTAATAGTGGCCACACTTTTGATTTCACAATTTTAACGAGTAATTATAACTCCAACCACTATTAAAAAGTTTATACTCCGTATAAAGTGAAATTTTATAATAGTTGTACTTTGAATAAATAAATATTACAAACACTTTATTATCTGAAGATATCTCCATAAATAAATATAAAACATAAAGAAAAATAAAACATAAAGAAAGTATTGAAATAAGTATTTCATGTTTTTAGTCCCTAAACAAAAGTTCACGTTATGGTAATGTAGTATTATATATAGACATTTTTTATATGTATTTTATAATGTTTGGTAATGTAAGGATTCGTTTGGTATAAGGAATTGATAGAATTAGAATTGAATTGAAATTGAAATTCCATTTGATTCAATTCCATAGAATTGAATTCATCAATTCCAATTCATTTTTTCACTACCAATTCTAAATTGATATAATTTTTGTGCTACCAAACACTAAAATTAGAATTAAAGTCCTCAATTCCAATTGAGAAATTTACCTAAATAGGACTAAAACATAATGACTTTCCCAATATAGGACCATATGTTTTTATTTTCCAATGTAGAACCTTTGGTCATTATGAAGTAGTCATTATTCAAGTAAATGTCCATCATTACTGGACATTATTCCTCCCACTAGGTCATTATTAAGTCCTATTTGGGGAATAAAAAGTTTAAGTCCTACATTAAGAAAGTTATTATGTTTTAATCTTATTTAGTGCAAATTAACCATTCCAACTCCATAATTTGAATTTCTGTACCAAACAAAGCCTAAATGTATTTTAACTCTTATTTTGGGATTAAAAATATCAAATTTTGATATATTTTCAATGTTTTACTCATATTTTAGTCATTTCCCCTATTATCTAGAATTACATTTGAAGGGTTGTTATATATTTGTGGACGACCTTCTCACACAAGACATTTTTTTAATTTTTATTTTTAAAAAATGAATGCTTATTTAAGTAATAAAATATTTATTTTGCTCATGACGGACTTTAAATCTAGAATTTGCCACATTTCAAATGAGCTATATGTAAACATGTTCTTTTTGTTTTTATTTTAATCGAAAACTGAACTTTGAGATCTCTAACATATAGTCTCAAAGTTCTTAACTAATACTTCTCCCTCCCTAGTTTTATTATAAATTGGAAATTACGAGGTAACATCTATCATTTTTCACTTTTTTGAAATTATTTTATTTACAAATTGGTATATCAATATGAAATAAAAATTACATATTAAAAAATAATGTCAAAAATTCTATAAAATGAGAGGTGACAAGAATATTTTATTCATCAAATATTCTTTGAAAATATACAAATAAACAAAAATTATCGACCAGAGAAAGAAAAAAAAATTGTAACTTTTTTCGGGATGTAGAGAATACAATTTTTTGGTTAAAATCTAGCTAGAAACTATAATCTGACATTTAAAATCTCAATTTAGGAAAATTATAATATAAATTCTAATAAAAAAACGCTGTATGTCACTATAAAAATTCGAATGCACTTTTAGTGCAAAATCGTGGTAAAATTTTATACAAATTGACTCAAGCTCTGTTTGGTATACGAAATTGGTGGAATTGGAATTGAATTGTAATTGAAATCTCATGGGATTCAATTCCATAGAATTAAATTCTATCAATTCTAATTTATTTTTTGCACTATCAATTCCAAATTCACATAATTTTTGTACTACTAAATACCAGAATTAGAATTGAAGTCCTCAATTTCAATTCCATAATTTGAATTAAGTATCAAAATATGACCAATCGCTATTCGATATCTTAAATACTCCAATCGCTATTCGATACCTTAAATTAATTATACAATACATACTTAGTGGAGAATGATATTGTATCGTCATCGTTGATCACGAGTTGACCGTTGCCTTGGCACAACATTATTTAGCAATATTTTTTTGATTAAGCTATTTATACATTAAAATTTGCACTTCATTTTGTATCCCAAAGACATGCATCAATATTTTGTATTAATATGATACTAGTGTGGTGATTTACATTGACAAAAAATATCAATTTAAATTTTTTTAAGTGATAAGTTTTGTGGTGGGAACAACAAACGAAAACTTAGACTCAATAAAGGAGATATGATATGTTTAGTGTGAAAAAACAATAATGAGTTTCAAGATTATAAACTCGTTATCCTTTCATAGTGTAGGTATATCTCACAAATATGCATCTTATTCTTCGAAGTGCAAATGTAATAAGAGTCTGGGAACATGAGAGACATAACACAAACAATAAAAAATCCAAAACTGACACAAAAATGGGATTTTAGATGATCAAATTTTGAAAGGGGACTCACCTATTAATAATTCAGAAGAAATCCAATTAATGATATAGACAGTCTCTCACCAAACTCCATCTTCAGGTACATTACACTCAATCTCCATCTTCAGGTACATAGTTCCTTATTGCTAATTTTGTTCACTACGAGTCTACGACATACTACCTCCGTCCCATTGTCTTTGTCCACTTTTGACTTTTGGAACTGTTTATCTAAGCACTTTGACTCATCAAATTCTCTCAATGTGTAAGCCTTAAAATAGTCATGTGTGATCTTGTTTGATTCGTCTTAACATATAGATTATTAATATATAATTTTTATAATTTTTTAATATACAAATTACAAGATAAAATGGATTAAAGAAGTGCATTGGATGATGTGTAAAAATAAAAGCGGACAAAGACAGTGGGACGGAGGGAGTATATTCATGCACATCTTCATATTGCTGACATATTCACTAAAGGGATGTCTGGTCCCTTATTTCAGTCTCTTTTGTCCAAGTTGGATATTCATTACATTAATATAAGCTCTAAGTTGATGGGAGTATTGGAGTATACTTATTTACCTGTATAGTTCTCTCATCGTTCCATTTTTTATTACAATTTTACTGTTACGAGACAAAATCCACATTTTTAAAATTATTTTATTTAAGAATTGATATAAGAATAAAAAATAAAGTTTACATACTTGAAAACTACATAAAAAAATAAGCGATGACAAAAATATTTTATTTTATTAAATAATCAGTCAAAATATATGAAGAAATAAAAAGTATCGAGATGAGAAAAAAATTATAATCAATTGTGGAACGGAGAGAGTATGTTGTGTATTCCTACATATATATGTAGAAAAGGTTAATTTCATTGATTGAATATGTGAGAGTACATGTATACATATATACACAAGGATTCCTAATCCTATACAAGGTAGGAGACAATAATAGGAAACAATATATTTACATTAAATATAGAATATATTTAACATGCTCCCGGCTACGTCGGATGAGGAGGGGGTCTGATACCCAGACTGGACTTAAACTCGAGGAAGAGTAGAGAAGGTAGTCCTTTGGTGAAGATGTCAACATACTGTGAAGAAGAGGGCACGTGAAGACGAGTGCGACTTTGTCTCGCACAAAGTGTATGTCGACTTCAACGTGCTTGGTGCGCTGGTGCTGAACTAGGTTTGATGAGAGATAGATGGCGCTGACGTTGTCGCAGAAGACGAGGGTGGCGCGTCGTAGTGGTTGCTGGAGCTCAAGAAGAAGATTTCGGACCCAAGAAGTCTCAGCAACTGCATTTGCCACAGCCTGATATTCTTCCTCTGCACTGGAGCGGGAAGTGGTGGCCTAGCGTTTTGAAGACTAGGAAATCAGGTTGTCACCTAGAAAAGTACAGTACCCGGAAGTGGAACGCCTGGTGTCGGGACAGCCAGCCCAATCAACATCAGAATAAGCCTGGAGATAGTCTGTTGAGGAGCGAGTCAGGTAGATATCGTGAGTGGCGGTGCCGCTAAGATAACGGAGAACTCTCTTCATGGCCGTGAGGTGAGAGTCGCGGGGCGCATGAAGGTGGAGGCAAAGCTGCTGAACGGCATAAGTGATATCAGGTCTGGTGAATGTGAGATACTGTAGAGCACCTACGATGGACGTGTAAAGAGAAGGATCTGGAAGTGCCGTGCTGGAAGAGGAAGAAAGCTTAGCCTTTGTGTCGATTGGAGTGGATATGGGGCGGCAGGAGACCATCCCTTCCCTCTCAAGGATGTCGTGAGTGAACTGTGTCTGATGGAGGAAAAGGCCCTAAGCAGTGCGATGAACATTAATGCTGAGGAAAAAGTGCAGATCACCCATTGGTGTCATGGCAAACTCAGCCTTGAGTTTCTGAATGAGACTTTGAAGAAGCCCTGGCGAGGAGGCAGTGAGGACGATATCATCAACATATAATAGGAGGTAGGCGGTCCCCGAGGCATGCGTGAAGACAAAGAGAGAGGTGTCAGATTTGCAGCTGCGAAATCCAATAGTCTGAATGAAACCTGCAAATCTGTGATACCATGACTGGGGTGCCTGTTTCAGACCATAAAGAGCTTTCTTGAGCCGGCAGACATGATGAGGGCGATTTGCATCTTGAAATCCTGAGGGTTGGCTAGCATACAGTGTTTCCTGAAGCTGTCCATGGAGGAAGGCATTTTTGACATCGAGCTGATGGATGGGCCACCCATGAGACAACGCGAGGCTAAGGACGATTCAGACCGTGGCAGACTTGATGACGGGGCTGAAAATTTCGCTGTA